GAAGCAGGGCTGGCTTGGCTCTGCTCCCTGCCACACACACAGCACAGCTGTGGGACAGCAGGACAGCAGCTGCCACCACCTGCGGCACATCCAGACTAAATTACCCATGTCTGACCCAAACATCTCGGTAATCATGACACAAAAACCCACTTAAGAAACGAACAGTTTTAGAATACACAAGAAGGACGTGAAATCAGAACAGAAAAATCAGAAAAATACACTGACCCACATATATACACACATATGTATCTCCAACCTATAACCATAAGGGGAGAGACTATCCACTAAAACTAATGAAGCTCAAATAGGATGGAACATTCGAACAGTAAGGGGATTTGAGTTCCAGGAAGCAGCTCTCACAGCAGTGTATCTGACCTGCCCCAGCAATCCAGGAGTGATGTTCAGTGAAAGCCAGAGGAGGATGCAGGTAAATGTTCAGGCACACCTCCCTCATTAATGATGGCAGACACAGCAGCACCTGCAGGCCCTGAGTGCTGCTCCAACAGCCCCTTCCAGCCAGGCTCAGCACAGCTGCACCATCCCTGTGCCCCCAGGGAAGGGAATGTCCTTACTGTGACTGAGTAAAACCACAGCTCACAGAACATGGAGCTCGCATTGCTGCACTCCACTGAGCTCAGCAACTCTTCACTGGAAAGGATGAAGAAACAAGAGCTTGTCACTAGGAAAAAGCAAGTCCTTATTAGCAGAACAATGTGATTGCTCCAGTGGATACATTATTCCATTACTGTCCACAGGACAGTATGATTCTGTCACTTATAAGGTATCCAAACCCACAGCAGCAATTCCTGTTACTGGATGCCCTAAACACAATTGTATCTCCTAACAACCTGTGTCTATGAGTAAAATTCAGAAAGGTTAACAACAGTACACAAGTAATTTTGAAGAATTTTTGGAACAATTCAGAAAAAAACCTGCTGCCTTTCAGAAAAATTATAAATATGTTTGCAATTTCCTGTGTGTCTGAATTACTCTGGGAACAGAAAAATGTTTAGGTTCTTGTGGAGAGCATTTTGCTTCACTTTGCATTGTATGATTCACTGTGATAAAACCTCTGTGAAAAACACTCACATTAAGGCAAGTATCTTCTGAAAAGATGTTTCTCCAAGCTTGCATTAAAAACCCTTAAAAAATGTAAAAATTTATCTCACTGACACCAAGAAGCTCTTAATCTTTGATGCCTTTGAGGCTTATTAGACACTTTAAATAATCAAGGAAAATAAAAGAAACAAATTTAGGAACCACAAAAGCAATACTCCTTATACTCTTTCAAATGTTAGTGCTAATAAATCCTAAGTTCCTGTACAGTTTGTCAGGAAAATGAATCCACAAACAGCAGAGGTTTATGTCCAAAAAAGAGACAGGCGAGTCCTGTAACTTTATTCAAATACAGGGAGAGGCCATGGGGCATTTCCCCTGGTGTCTCTCAACATTTTGGAGGACGCAGCCTCCTTTTTATCCTCATTTCCTGGCCCCATGTCCATCTCTCTTCCCCACTGCCTGTGGTACTTCAGAGGTACAGACTTCCTGAAATGTCTCATACCTGAGACCCCCATCTAATGTACAACCCTCCCCTTTTGTTTTCCTTGTGTCAATCCGTGGAATTCCTGTGGAATTTATGGTTCTTCCCATTGTTTCTTTCATCTCTCAGTACTCACTTTTATTTATCAGCAGACCTACAGTTTGTAAGGACAAGTCTCTCCCATTCCATTCATCAATCAGTGGAATCCTTCCCATTCTTTCTTTTCTCTCTCGCTGCTAGTTTTACCTACCAGCAGACCCACAGTTTGTAAAGGCAAGTCCCTTATTCAAGTTCAAGCACCGAGGCCCAGCTTCAAAAGAACAGAGAATGCACTTGCCTGTAGAGTACAACAGTGTTCCCTAGGAGAGGAAAAGTGAATTGTGCTTAAATTGTGCTATGATAACAAATGGCTGTCATCATCTTTACAGCTCATTCAATTCCCAGGCCTGGCTTGTTGAAACTACTAATAGAAGAGCCAAAAAGACACCGATAAATCAGCACTGTTTCCTGGATCTATCATCTTTTCTTCAGCGAGTTAGAGCTGTGAAATAAAGTAAGTGACATCTGGTAATCCTCTCATTGAAAAACTTATTAAACACAGTCTCAGTAATAGCCATAAACTGTTCTCAGTGAGAGTGTTTCCATTCATATAAGAAGAGCTCTAAAAGAAACTAAAAACTTGTCATTCCTTCCTGTTATGTAACCACATGCCTTTAAATCTTTTGTATTTTCTCTCTTCTGCTTCCTTGTCTTTGCCACCTTGTGCATTCATTGTGTTCTGCAGCAAATTATATGGCACTTTCCCTTACTGTCATATTTCAATAGCTGCTGTCTGACTTTCTCAAGTCAGTGGGGTGGGTTATGTATTACTCTTCTCCACCTATTGTACATTATATACCCCTAAAACCACGATTATGTCTGAAGTAGAAAAGATCATCACAATTTTGTTTCAAGAGTCTAAAAATTTAGGACCATTTGAGTTAAAATCTTGTCGTTTCACACCAGAGATTCATCAGAAAGCATTCTTGGGACAAACCCATAGAAATCTTTTGGACTAATATGGGATGCTGTTCACCACATCTGCATCCTGCCACGTGCTCTGGACAGCATCAGAGAGTCATTTATGTTGGAAAAGCCCTTCAAGATCATTGAGTCCAACCATTAAAGGTGGATGCTCTCCTGTACAAAACTTTCAGCACTTAACAGCAAACCCTGACCCACCCTAGAACAGACATTGCAAGAGAAATCTGCTACAAGAATGTACTGAAGATTTACATTCCAAGCTAACCAGAGCTGAAGAAATCTCACTGTCTAACCCATGTGCAAAGCACTTCCAGAGAGCTTCAAGAATTAAGGCTGCATTCAACAGCATTTTGATTAAAACTTTCACAGCACCTTTCTCTGGTGTAAGGGCTGAAACACAATTTGACTTTAATTAAGCATCTGTAAACTTCTAATAAACAATGAGAAATATCAAAAAGTACAATATCTGTCAGATGAAAAAAAAAATCTGACATGCATAATTATTTTAGTCCCTAACCTACATTATCCTAAGGACAATAGAATAAGACAAAGTAAACAGTCTCATTAGAACAGCTTTCAATTGTGTTAACTGCTATGACTTACAGAACAAAAGGGAATTTCAGCCTCCCAAAAAGGGAACAAATATCTGCATCACACAATTGTTCCCTCAATATGCTCAGTGAATCATCCTGAGGTATCTTTAGAAAAGAACATTATGCCTACAGATAATGTTTACGGATGAAAAGCATGAGATTAACATTGTGTACCCATATTAACAGTATTGAGTCTCCACTGTTTCAACATTTACCTGCCAGATGTAACAAGTGTCAAACCCATTCTTCAAATCTAAAAGAAAAACCAATTCTAAAACGCAAACTACGTTCCTTTTCTAATTCACAGCTACAAGCATGTCAGACAATCAGATTTCTGGATTTACGCAACACTCCTGTCTTCCCAATATAGCAATTTAGTCATTCTAACACTTGTAAATCGGCGCTCTTCTCCTCTTCTGGTGACAACACCCTGCTCAAAAACAACACTAACAGATTGCTTACCTTTTAAGAAATTCTTATTTAAATTGTTGCATTCTACAGGAGCAGAGATTACATTTCCAAACTCTAGTCTAGGAAGCGGTATTACCAAAAAATTCTTGTTTCTGGCACATGAAAGATTGTCTGTTCTGAATCAGTGACAGTTCACAACAAACATAAAATAACCTCAATGTACATTTTCATCTGTGGCACGGCATTTTCCACAGACTTTATAGACACAACACAATTAATACAATTTATACTCATGCTGGGGATGTGCATATAGTTTAAGCTTAGATTTCTGGAGGAAAATGTCCCTTTCAACCTTTTAAAGATCATTTTGTGAAATGCAGGTTAAACTGCACTTTAATGCCTCGTTACATGCTAAGCTCCCAGAGCAGGAGGCGCTGAGGCAGGCCCAAGCTGGGCCCTGTGTTACTCAGTGGCCACGCATTACTCAGTCACCCTGTGTTTGTTACTCAGTCACCCTGTGCTTGTTACTCAGTCACCCTGTCCTTGTTACTCACTTGCCTTGTGTTTGTTAATCAGCTCCCTTGTGTTTGTTACTCAATTGCCTTGTGTTGGTTACTCACTTGCCCCGTGTTTGTTACTCACTTGCCCCATGTTTGTTACTCACTTGCCCTGCATTATGCAGTGGCCCTGTGTCTGTTACTCAGTTGCCCCCTGTTACTCAATCCCCTGTGTTTAATGTCACTCAGTTACCCTGCATTCCCTACTCAGTGCCCCAGTTCAATACTCAGTGCCCCGTGTGTGTTACTCAGTTCCCTCATGTTCGTTACTCAGTGCCCTGTGTTAGTTCCCCCTTGCGTGTTACTCAGTTCCCCCGCATTGGCTACTCAGTTCCCTCATGTTCGTTACTGAGTTCCCCATATGCGTTACTCAGTGCCCCATGTTCGTTACTCAGTTCCCCCGCATTCGTTACTCAGTTGCCCACGTTCGTTACTCAGCTCCCACGTGTTCATTACTCCATTCCCCTGCGTTCACTACTCCATTCCCCCGTGTTCATTACTCAGTGCCCATGTGTTCATTACTCAGCTCCCCTGTGTTCGTTACTCCATTCCCTGTGTTCGTTACTCCATTCCCCCGCGTTCGTTACTCCATTCCCCCATGTTTGTTACTCCATTCCCCCGTGTTCATTACTCAGTGCCCCCGCGTTCGTTACTCCATTCCCCCGCGTTCGTTACTCCATTCCCCCGCGTTCACTACTCCATTCCCCCGCGTTCGTTACTCCATTCCCCCGCGTTCGTTACTCCATTCCCCCGCGTTCACTACTCCATTCCCCCGCGTTCGTTACTCCATTCCCCCGCGTTCACTACTCCATTCCCCCGTGCTGGTTACTCAGCTCCCCACGTTCATTACTCCCTTCCCCCGCGTCGGTCACTCACGGAGCGCAGGTACTCGGCCAGCAGCTCCTGCAGGGCCTGGCGGATGGCGCTGCACTCGGCGACAATGCGCTCGCGGTGCGAGTCCCGTGTGCACGAGGAGTCGGCCAGCAGCGCCGCCCCGCTGATGATCGCCTCCAGCCGCTGCTCCAGGGACGGCCTCACCTTCTCCTCGCTCACCGCCAGAGGATCCAGCACTATTAAATTCTGGAAAAAAAGAGGAGCACAGGTAAGAAAAGTCAGTTCAATGGAGCTGCTGCTTTATTTTGTACTTACAGGAACTGCAGTGACATTATGCGTCCCAGATGTGCTGCTGGCCCTTCCCACTGGAAGCATCCAAAATCCTTTTGACCGTGGCAGATTTGTTTTTCCCTAGTGGGGCTACACACAGAGGTCATTTGCAGACAAACCCAGGCTCTCTCCGCCATTCAGAGTCTCAGACCAGAGCTTAAGCTCTGTTTCAAAGAGGGGTTCAATGCCTATAAACTTTAGTCTTCTAGAGATCAGGAGAACCTCTGGATTGAACTGAGAGCCAGCAGTGCTAGCTCACAGCTGAGAAAGCTGAGTCAGATTACACGAGGAGTCTGGTTCTGCTGACTTTTAGTCTAAGCAATCCCACACTGTGGCAGAAAGTCACTGCTGCCACTTTTAATAGGCTTAATATGGGCAAAGATAAAAACTGCAGCTTTTGTTTAACAATTATTTTTCCCAAGGACATAGATATAAGTGTCCTTTTGCTTTTCAGCAGGTAGGGTAAACAAAAGCAGACAATTCTTTTGGCTTGATAAAATTAATTACATTTGTGTGGCAAGCAAATATTCTAAAGAGAGAGAAAAGGAGACTGTGAGATTTTCATAAAACAGCAAAGTAAGTATATGTGAGCTTCAGCATTTGAAGAAATTTACACCAGCAACTGTTAATATAACTGAACATCTGAACCTGTGTCATTATGGTCCTAATCTCCAAACCTGGATTCCACATACACCTGTCCACCTCTTACATCACATCCATAGGTGGTTCCAAGCTTTCAGAAGAAATATTAAACAAGACAACTATGCCAGATACCCTGATAGGGAATTTAGGTAAATCAGAACTTATCTGTGCTTATCCACTAAGTGCCAGACTAACTGCAAACTGGAGGATTTGAATTATTTTTTTCAGTTTAGACTTAACAAGACGATTTCAGGGACTACCTAGCTTAAGCTAGAAATGAAAGTGTTATATTAGATCACCATAAGATAAAAGCTTAAACAGTGATGCAAGGAGATTTGAGTCACAAGCTTGTGTCAGAGATCTGAAACTCTGCCTCCCTCATTCCTGTTAGAGCCCTTAACACCCAGGTGTTCTGGGGTCCCTCACATCTGCTCAAGCTGTGCCACAGGGCCACCCTTCCCTGCAGCAGCAGCTTCCCTGCAAGCTCCTGTATCTCCAGCAGCCCCTCAATGGCAAGCTGCACATGCAGTGTCCATCACAATGCAAAACACACCTGGCAGGTACAACGCTGAAGGGCTGCTGCAGAAAAAACAGCTTCATTGTCTGGGGAAAACTCAGACACATGTGGTGGTCACAGCCAATTATACGATCAGCTGGAAAAATCACTGCCTTCAAATCTCAGCTGACCCAAAACAGAAATGTCCTCCTTTGGGAGACAATTAGGAGAAAGTTTACACCAACATGGACAAATAGCACTGGCCAAAAGCTACTGTGGTTCTTCTCTGAATAAAAAAATAATCTAGGCAGTAACAGCCAGGAAAACATGATTGCAGCCTCTGCCCTACAGATAAAATTCTTCAAATAATTTCATTACTTATTCATAATCAGTACATCTACACAGGAAAGAGAAGACACAATGAGAAGACACCAGGCCCATGGGAAGCAGTCTCTGGTGGGTTTGATTTAACAGGCTGAACAGTGGCCAGCTACTCTGAAGCAGCTCAAGCATAAAGGTGCATTTAAGAGGAGTGATTAGATCTCTGTTTTCTCCCTCACAGGTCTGATCCAGGAAAAAAAGAGGGCCCATGGGAATGCAGAAACTTGGTTGTGCTTGGTGAAGTTCTGCAGTGACTTAGAGCCTTTTGGCATCTCACTGTAACTGCTCAGCTGGATGGCCACGGTCACCCAAGGGCCACACAGCAGCTGAACACACCCACAGAGACACCGGCATGCAGGACCTGCATCATTTTGTGAGAAATCTCTTTGCACTAACAAGGTGAAAGACCAGAGAAAAGTATTAGATAACCTGCACCCAATATGCTCTTTCCACAGATCTTAATATACAATTAAATTTTAAAGTTACAATTTTATGTTTATTTACAAATGACACAGTAGTTATAGGGAACCTTTAAGAGAAATTGTTGAGAATCTACTGATTTAAGAGTTAGCTGCTCTAATTTTACTGGTGGTTTCCTCACCTATAAATCTCTAATAACTTTCACAGTGCCAGCACTGGCAAAGGAAGAATGATATTGCAAAACATAGATACTAGATTGTTGGGTAAGCTCCGAGATACATTTCCACACTATAAACATTTAATGAGATTTGCTCCCACCAGACTATTTACTGCATCAATCTATTTCATGGCACTGTATTTGCAACAAGAAGATAGAGCAAAGGTTATTTCAGGTCCTTAGCCAATAGAACTTTCTGTAAAGCGAGGAAAGTGTAACCATCTAACTCACAAAATCATTTCTGAAGTTAAATGCTCTATAAATTGTGCTTTATCTAACTCACACAGCTTCAATTCCCATTTGTGCTACCCAGGTAAAAATATATTTACAACTTGATAAACAAATGCTTTTTACAACCATCAGACTTCTATGTTCTTACATTTCCAAGTAAAACCAAATTCAATTCAAAATACTTTTTTCCCCATTTTGTGTATATCAAAAATTTCAAATTTTAGAACAAAAATAAATGTTACTGCATTTTTAAATAGTACTGCTTACACAGAGTCAAGATTAATTCATCTGCAGTAATAAAATGCATTCCTTTTGACATTTCTTTTTTTTTTTATTTTAAAGCAATCCAGGTAAATCCAGGGTTTCATATAAGGAATCTCATTTGTCATTCACAGCTACATTGTAACATGTTATGTATTACACTTACATGTTTCTTTTTACTTCCATTTATTAGGAAGATAGATTAGGAACTGTAGTTTCGGAACCCGTAATGTGCAATTGCAGCCTGCTCCTCTGTGGGGAAAAACCTGTCTGCTTTGACTTTGAGCATGCCAGAGAGGCCTTTTTTGATCAATAACCTGCCACTACAAAACCTGTGTCATATTTCTATGTATTTGTTTAATCTTCCTTTGAAAATGTTAGATAAAAATCTACTACCATCAGTCCTAACATCAGTTATCCTGAAAATGTATCACAGTCTCAGCGCTGGGACGCTGAGATCTGCAAAGTCCAAGAATTCACAATCAAAACCACCCATATGTGCAAATGTGTTTAGAAACATACATTCCTTGTGTTGATCTGGGCCTACATCAGTTACACCCCGTGAAGATCATGGTCTGTAGCCTCACCTACAGGAGATCTTTCACCATTTCTGGCAGGACAATGGAAAATTACACTGGTGAGAGCCAGAGCAGCCATGAGAAAAAGGAAAAACTCCATAGAAAAACTTCAGATGAGGTCAGGAATAGAGAAAGTGCTGCCTTCCCCCAGATATTTGCTTCAGTAATGGAAGCAGAAATGCAGAGGTGGTGAAAGCATATTAGCTATGTCACTTTATTTAATGATAAGCAGCAAATATAACAAGGTTTCTGAATTGCTCGATTATAGAAATTACAGAATGATCCCACTGACACATTCTGGAGACAAGGCCTCAGCTTGCATGGCAGCAGCTCAAATGCAGCCAGGGCAGCAGTGGGCACTGTCAGCTGGGAATCACTTCTGGGCACACTGAACTCTGGGTTCTGCCCACCTCCTGCAGGATGTCTCTGTCTGTCTGTCTGTCTGTCCCAGCAGCAGGGACACAAGTGCAGCTGACTCTGCCCTCTATTCAAAGGGAGCCAAACACTGAACACACAGGAACCTTAACTCCAAACTCCTCTGAAGAAAATGAAATTATTTCAGTGAACCATCTCAATGAAATCATTTCAAGTGATACTACTTAGACTAGGACGAAGCAGAGCAACAATCTTTAATGCCTTTAGGCTCATCATTTATGGTACCAATAGTTGTTAAAAAATTAAAAAACTGTTTTCCAAAAACACTGTAATCTCACATGTTTACATACCTCAAGCTCATCAAGTGCACTTCCCAGAGTAGCTGTACGAGGTGCAGGTTGCTCCACTTTATTTCCAACTCCTTGGGAAGCATTGGAAATTACATTGAGAGCATTCTGTATTTCATTGCAAATTGAATCCTTGCTGGCTGTAAGGGATGCAACATCTGAATGTTCCAAACAAGCTGAACATATTGAATGTAGGAATGCAGAATTTTCCTTCAGGGATACACGTGCTGCAGCAATTTCATCTCGCTGATTGCTAGATTTCAAATCCTGCCAGCAAAAGAACACGCTGTTTATTTCCAAGAGCACTCCAAAACTGACACACATGAACATTTTTTCATTTCTATCTCTACCCTGCTTAAGGAAACATCAAGTTAAATTCATCAAAGTTTGTGAAAACAGACTGTACCGATAGTTACAACTGAATCATCATTACCTCATGAGAAATGAACAAAGTATGTGTAAAACAACCACCATTTTTAGTGTGTCTTACAACCAGCACCACAAACTGAGATTTGTTTGTTTTTAAGCAGTTTTCCTATGAGCAAACTGCCCTGGAAATGAGCTGTCTTTCCTCCTAGCCATGTCTTTCCTCGGTGGCAATGGAGAAGGACAGAGGTGCACACAGATAAGGCATTCTGTAATTGTTGCATCTGAACAAACTCCCCGTGTTTGTTTCCCTGCCCCAGCAGCCTCTGTCTTGAGCACGCTGCAGAAAGGAACAGCAGGTCATGGACACCAATCCTGCATTCCCGAGAAATGGGAAGCATAGAAGGTGTGGAAATGAAAAACCTACTTGAGAGAAGCCACCTTGAGGTGCCTGAGGGGGCTGCCTCCCCTCTGACCCTGCTGCCAAAGCACTCAGGGATCTTCCCACACCCACCTTGGTCCTCCCTTCTCCACCAGCCCTCCTTGAAACCCTACAGCCTCCCACCAACAGAGACAAGGGACACTCAGAGCACCCAGTCCCACTGAACTGGCTCCAGGAGTCAATCATGGGCACGGTTATCTGGACAGCTGAAAGTTACAGACTTTGGAACAACCAGAGTCGACATCGGGCTGTATGGAGCCTCCTGCCTCATCCTGTTTTACTGCAGACATTTTCCCCTGCTTCTTCTGCATCATGTCCCCTTGAAGAGAAAACTAATAGATATTTGTGAAGGAGACAGCTAAATTCAGGGGAAAAATAAAAAAGGGAAAATAGCACATCTGAGCCTGTGGCACCAGATTCAAATGATGAGAAGAGGCACAATGAAGAATGAACAAGTAAATGCATACAAAACTTCTCACAGCCTGCCCACAGGCAATCTGAAGTCTAATTATTTTCCTTTGCATTGCATCAGGCTCTATATGCATTATTTACAAAAGCATCACAGTACCCACTTCTCACTGCATGAAGTTTTTAAGTTTATGGCTGTAGAGCATTTGATATTAAATGAACCAGTCCTGTATTTTTAAAATCTCATTTAGTCCAAGATATGCATAGGACATAGGATTGCATCTTACTTCCTCAGGCTAACTTAGAAATCTCGGGGATATAAGTAACAAAAAAAAACCCCAAAGCAAACAAAATGAAATAGATGTAGTCTTAAGCAGGAGCAGACAACAGTTTAACCAACTGATCATCTGAATCAGAAAACTGTGTTTTCTTTAGTGTATTAACTCATCATGTATTTCTAAATTTTTAATACGCAAATATATAAATGAATCACCACTGTGCAAGAGAGATTTTCTTGCCCAGTGTGTTCAAATCCAAATGCTCCTGCATCTCCAACCTCAGTAAAGCAGCTGCAATTTGTCCAGTGCGCTGGTCTTGCTCAGAAAGAAATGTTATTTAAGCACTGACTCTGGTTCTAATTAGTGAATCTATCTTTCCTGCAATTATTCCAAGCCAGCAGCCTGCCCTCTCTTCTCCTGTGCTACAAGGAAGCCGCAGACACAGGGATATGACGAAAGCCAATGCAGCACTTCAGCCTAACTGGCTTCTATTTATTATTAACCATTTCTTACTTTGCCACATCATATGCAAACAATCAAACCCAAATTAAAAAATTACTTTTTCCCTCTAAAACAGCCCTGTCTAACCAGGAGTGAGATGATCATAAGAGAACCAAAACTGGTAAACCAGTAGCACAAAGCCAGCAGTCAGTAACAACGTCTGGAAAGGTTCAGTAAATGGATGTTTTTGTTTCACACAGTACTGTAGAGAGATTCAGAGTCATGGCATTGATAAATTCTCCTACAAAGAGCCCCAGTTTTGTTCAGTAATATGTTAAATTTAAAAAATATGCTCAGACCCCTGAAATTCATCACTACTTTGTTGTTTAGCTGTGAGCTTGGAGAGCCCCCAAAGAAGCTGTAGAACCATTATCCCTTTCCATATTGAGGAAACAATTATGCCTTGAGATTTTTCATGATAAAAAGAAGAAACATCTGATAATCTTAGTCTGAGCTTTTGCATAAATGGACCAAAAAAAACCCCTAAGCTTGAGTGATTTGCTATCAAAGCTCTGCACATGTGGACTGCCAGAATAATGAACTAGTTCTTTGAAGGAGGAAGGTAGTCTCCACCAATATCTGCAGTTCACCCAAGCTACTTTACTGCACTTCAGGCTATTTTATTTTTTCTTCATGGTTTAGCACTTCCCTCTTATTCCAACTTCTTTTTAGACTGGTCTATACTATATAGACATAAACTATATGTTTTTCCACACTAAATCAGTTATGTCATGTGAGAACAGCTGAGATTAAAGATAATCCCATTTCCAAGCACTGCCAATCCAAGAGGCCAACTACAGACATTTCCCCAGGCTGCTGTCCCAGTCCTTCCAGGACATACTTCTGTGTCTTCCTTATATCTGGTTGTCCATGACAAGAATGGAAAATGAAAGGATAATCAGCAATTTCCAGCTGTGGATTGTTCCAGCTAAACCCAGTCAATGGACATGAAGACTTTTAAGAACTTGAAAACTACCTCCTCATTGTTAAGTTTTGACTGCACTACTTCAATAAGGAGAAAAAAAGGAGGGAAAAAAATTGTTCTTTATCCCAAATAATACATCTGAGGTTTGACAGCTCAATGCACTGGGAAGGCAGCTCCTGCTCCCTGAGCATTCCCATCACACAGCTCAGGGGGGCTGGGATCACCATGGGTACAAATCACACTGCTGGATTCTGCACCAGCTGCAGCTCCACTGGGCACTGCAGAGCCCAGCCTGTCCCTGCACAGACAGATGTTACTGAACCCAGTGCTGTAGCCAGGAAAAACACAGGCACACAAACTCCTCCATTTCATGCTACTGTAGAAATAGGGGACAAAAGCATTCGTTTTTCATCCCAGCTTAAACCTGGGCTTTAGCATTCAGCTTTCAGTCAGAGTGACTGCCAAGTCATGCAGAGCTGCTGATTCAAAGACCATAATGAAGCTCAAACTCTTCCAAGTGCATTCATGCACTGTTCATCTGGGCAAGGCTCCAGATGATAAATTCCATAAGCATTGTGTCGTCCTTTCCAGTGGAAGAAAGATCTCACCAACCAAAGCAAGTGAAAAACACCTGGGGGTGACACTGGCAGTAGATGTCCCTCAGCTCTGTCAGTTCTGCCAAGGGAACGCTGCTGTACACAGTGTGAGAGCTGCCAGCCTCAGGCTCTGCCAGCCTCAGGCTCTGCCAGCCTCAGCTGGGAGCTGCACCCACACCCAGGCCCTGCAGCCCCAGCTCCACACAGGCTGGGACCCTCAGTGCCCCTCCAAGCCATGCCACAGGTTGCCAGGCTCATGGGAACCTCAGTGCCCCTCCAAGCCATGCCACAGGGGTGCCAGGCTCATGGGACCCTCAGTGCCCCTCCAAGCCAAGGCACAGGGGTGCCAGGCTCCAGCTCAGGCACAGCTGCCCCTGCCAGTGTGGCCTCCTGAGCTCCAGCCCCATCCCCAGGGCACCTCTGAGACACCCAGGGCTCTCCCCTGAGCCCAGCCTGCCCTCCCAGCTTGTCCTGGGGGCTGCCTCCTCACCCCAAACCCCCCTGAGGAGCTGGCTGGGGCTGGGCCCGGCTGCCCCAGCTGGCACACCCAGCTGTGCCCATGCCCAGCTGCTGCAGCCCTGCCTTGGGGAGCAGCCAGCCCTGGCTGCAGCCCACAGGACCTTTTACCATCAGCAGGGATCTCCTGCTCTCAGCTCCATGCTAAACCTGCCCCTGCCTGCTCTACAAAACTCTCCATTTGCCAAGCTGCAAGCAGCATGGCCTGGTGGCTCCTTTCTTCCACTCAAGGCTTCCAAATACATCTGAACTGATGATGTACACGAGGGACTGTAACCACACAAAAAGGAGACACAAATAAACACTGGGACAAACACCTGGCAGGATAGAGGCTTCATTAGCACAAATGAAACACCAGTGGATGATAGAGCTGTGCTGCACTGCCCAAAGGTTCCCTTGTGAGAACTCACAGCAAGTTAACACCACTCAGCCTATCCTTACCAAGCATGATCACAGTACCTGTTAGGAATTCCAAGCTAACTTTCTAATACAAAAGTCTTGCCTGGTCTCTAAACCCATTTTTTCTGACCTGAGAAATCAGAATCAGCAGTTTTAGTGTCTCGTGGTACCATTATAGCACAGCATGTATAGGGCACAGAAACACCACATACAGAAGATACAGACCCTGTATGGCCAGAAGTGTAGGCAGTTTGCATCACATGCATGAACACACAAAATATCAAGTGTTATATGCACAACAAATGCATATCAGTGTTACCATAAGCCTTCAGCAATAGCCTCTGTCTCTAGGCAACCCAGCAGTGTTGATGAAACCCCAGCTGAGAGCAGGCAGGGAAGGGACTCCCAGGACTGAGGTGCCAGCAGAATTCACTCTCTGCATCAATCCCTGTGCACTGTTCATCACACAGGAGTGACAGATAATAAACACCACAGGGCAGCACAGTCACCTCACACAAAGCCATGACTGGATTACACCCCTGCTCTTGCAATTTACTGATGTTCTCCAGGAATTTCTTGTTCAGACAGAGAAGGATGCAGTTTCTTTTGACACTGCATGATTTGGTTGCAACAAATTGCAACTACTGCACAACATTCTGAGTCCCCCTGTGCTCCAGGAACTCCCAGCCCATTTATTGATGATGGAGCAATCCTTGCTGTCACTTCTCTATCTGCTACTTCACTCCAATACTCTGCTGTTATCCTGCAGTGCCCTAGACGAAGTAGCTGATTTGGGAAGGTAGCAAAGCAATTTTTTCCCTGTAAGAATTGATATA